CTGACTAAAAATAGTTAGAAAAATTTTTAATTCTAACTATTTTAATAAAAACTTTATCTTAGATTTTAAAGAATATATACAGCCTATAATTATACTATAAAAATAGTTTTAAAAAAATTATAAATATATTTTTTATCTATAAATAATTAAAATTAATCTAAAAAATAATATAAAAAATAATTTTATATATCTTATTTATTTAGTTTATTTTATTTATTTTATTTGATATTTTTATTATATTTATTTTATTTATTCTTTTAGCTATTCTATAATAAATAAGCCGCGGGTATATATTTTTCTTATTTCTATTTTTTTTTCTTATATTTAAAATTTTATGTTGTTAGCTTCAGATTAGTAGAAAATAAACTGACTTAATCATCCATAACAGTTTATTCAAATAATTTTAATAGATATTATAATAAGCCGGCTGGTATTGTTAGTTTTAAATCTTATAAATAGATTCTAATTTTTTTTATTAAATATTAGTCTAGCTGGCCGCCTAACTTAGTGATCAGCAGCATGAAAGGCATTCCAAGTTACTTAAAACATGTCTCAGATTGTGAAAGAAGTAAAGCCTCTTCTTAAAGTAGTATAGTTTTTTTACTAATATTTTAGTCTACATGCCTATTGGTAAAAATTAATACTAGTCTATTAGTATAAAATTTATTTTAGCGCTAAGAAATCATGTGTAAATTATGCCGGTATTAAAGTGGAAAACCTGAACCTTCCATGGCAGGTTTGCTGACAGTTTCTATTCAGTATGCAAGAAAGCATTCAAGCTTTTGTTGAGTCCTTTTCCCTTCCTTTTCCCTCCACCCTCACCCGGCGCGCTTTTCTCCCCACAATACCGACGAACACTACGCTAGTAGAAATAACAAGATGTATAGTCCTAGTAGAGGCTTTTTTTAAAGAAGAAATTTAGTCATATGATAGAATAATATAGTACATAGTGGTCAACACCAAGATACCATACTTATTAATCATCTGGATATTCGTCGGTAATATTACTCACAAAAACCCTTCTATCATTATCCCATCTCTTGAAGTGTTTGCCTGCAATTGCAACCAAACTGTGTGGCAAATCTGCTATCTCTGTGACAAGAGGCTCAATGCTTTCTTCTGCCACGTACCGAACACTTCTATCCTCAACACTGGAATTGTTAGCCTCACAGTCGGTTAGTAACCTTATCAAACACAGTCACATACAGTACATGATAGAAACTCTGGTGTCGACCATTTCGAAGATTGTCCACTCCCATACGTCTCATCCATTGCTCACCCGCACCACACTCCACATCCCACCCAGTAATAATGGCGCGGTATGCGTATCGGCGATGCCTGAAAACCTGGCCAATTCGATACCTGACGCTGCCATCTTGAGCGGAGCGCTTTTTGACCTCCCTCGGAATCCCGTCCACAGCCCGCATAACATGAAGGCTTTCCAAGATGTTGTCATGCTCAGCCATACCGTTGAAAATAGGAGTGATGAAGTGCTCTACCAGATTTACATCTGATGGAAATTCCATGGCTAGAAGCTCCATTAACCATGGAAGGTTATGCCTCAACTCGATAGAGCGAGCCGGATCTGAAAGTAGCATAGATGACCAGACAGCGGCATATTTTGCACTGGCCAAATCAACTGACGCAAAATGTACGTCGTCAGAATCACTACCGCGCTGAATAGAGTTTAATATGTTCTTGCTGGAACGAAGCACGATCTCCGACACCTCAGACTTCCCAAGGAACGTCGATTGCTCCGCAGCGGAGGCTCCCAGAAAGTTCAACTGATGCTGCAGATCCGTAACTGGTGTCTCCTTGTCTGATCTGAACGGATCCATATAAATAGGGCCTCCTCGCATTCCAGCTTCGACTGCATGACCATCGACATCATATCCGGTCACAGGCATGATAATTACGTGAACGTGAAAAGGAAATCCGCATGGTCTGGCGTCGAGGCCTAGTTTCTGTGCAACATGGCAGTAAATAGCAGCCGAGACTAGAGGAAGTGAGTTGTGAGCAGGATCATTCAGTGAAACACCTAAGAAATTATGCTCCAGGCGGTGATAACTCCTTCCTGGTTCAATACCATTGAAATTGTTCGCTCGAAGGAAGCCTGCGATGGCTCTAGCCTTATTACGACAGGTTAATTGTTGAAATTGTGGGTGGTTCTCGATAAATAGCGATGTGACATTATCCAATTTAATGACGATCTTCAAAGCCAGTCAGTTATGGTGACACTCCCAATTTAAGATGATAGCCTACCTCTTCCAGACTGCCAAACCCACTCTCCGGGATGAATAGATCGAACGCTCCAAGCGCCCTAGTTAAAGACACAACTTCTCCACGTCTAAGGTTCTCCCATTCCCGGATGGCAAAGCTTCGATGGAGACAGGACAAGACCGCTCTGGCGTAATATCTTTCATGGTAGACGTATGGTTAAACAATATGGCAGGCAGAAAGAATATGAAGTTAATGGTACCAACCTCCGTGCCAAATGGTCTTCTGCCTCGGACCCCACAGAGATGTTATGTGAAAGAGCATCTTTAGCATCGTATCCAAGATCAGTTATGGCTTGGATCTGCTCGATCCTCCCAGCCTGACTGCAGAGGATATTGTTCAGCAGGCGTGTAGTTGCGCGGTAGCTTGTATGCTTCGTTACATAGAGCTGTTTCCAATCTGTACTTGATATGGGAGCTGTCAACCTCTTAGACAGTTCGTGACCAGGGGCCCAATATTTGAACTGTGTCAAACAATAATAGCGCCATAGTGTCGGTTCACTAGTGACTCCACGAAATCTGCGAGCTGTTCGTTCTAATGCAGCCGTGGAGAATGGTTCACAGTGATAAAGGACGTGTTGTAGCAGCTCTTCAGGGAGGCAATCAAGAGACAAAACCATACCGCTAAACAAGTATATAAGGATGACTTGTGAGAGTATGACAAAATGACCCCAATACAAGACTGAGCAACGCAATGAGTCGCCACACTAGTGAGCACCTGTATGTACCGATATCATTTGAGGTTGGAGAACACGAATCAGAGTTAGGCGGATACTCGGGTACTTTTTTTGTTGACCTACGTAGTAAGAGTAACCATAATTCGTCACATATGTCCTCCAATCCTTCCTTATTAGCATTGAGGAACAAATACCGCAGGAATGGGCCAATATTACTCCACAACCAACACTGAAGAACCCGGGACCTCTGTTGATAAGAATAAGAGGATCGGGTATTATGAACTCTTGCAGGTCGCTCGAGACGCATCTGGAGAAGAGTAAGCAATTTCTTTTGGCCCTCCCTTCCCTTCTCATCTTCTCTGTCTGGCTCACTTTAGACTGACACCATCTGCCGGCTGCTTAAAAAGAATTAAAAAGGCATACAGGAAAAAAGCTCTGGAGTTACATCCTGACAAGAACTTTGGAAACGTGGAAAACGCGACGAAGTTATTTGCGGAGGTTCAGGCTGCTTACGAAGTGCTCTCAGATCCCCAAGAGCGCGCCTGGTATGATTCCCATCAAGAAGCCATTTTAGGGCTGGATGGAAATTTTGAAGATGTCAGATTATCAAACAATACCAAAATCACGACTGCAGGTGATATATTCGGGCTGTTTTCACAATTCAGTCCTCGAATGGAGTTCTCTGATTCCCCTGAGGGATTCTATGGTGGTCTTCGTGAGATTTTCTCACGTCTCGCTCTGGAGGAAGAGCTAAGTACCTCCGGCGAAGGAACAAATACAGCAAAGTATCCAACCTTTGGTCGTCGTGACGATGGATATGAGGAAGTTGTGCGTCCATTTTACGTGGCCTGGAGTGGCTTCTCAACCACAAAGACATTCGCATGGAAAGATAGATACCGGTATTCAGAGGCCCCAGACCGACGTGTTAGGCGGCTGATGGAGAAAGAGAACAAACGTCTACGTGAGGATGGAATTCGGGAATTCAATGATGCAGTCCGGTCGCTTGTGGCGTTTGTTAAAAAGCGTGACCCTCGATACAAGTCCAATGTTCAGAATGAATCTCAGCGACAAGAATTTCTTCGTCGTTCCACTGCTGCGCAAGCTGCCAGGTCACGAGCAGTCAATCAAGCCAAGTTTCGCGAATATGTCGCACCAGAGTGGGCGATGTCACAAGATCACAGTGAGATTGATTCCGATGGCAGCTTCAATGTCTCAGATGTCGCGGTAGAGCTTTTTGATTGTGTTGTGTGTGATAAAAGCTTCAAGAGTACTAAACAATTTGAGACACACGAACGAAGCAAGAAGCATATCAAGGCCGTCAAACAGTTGCAAAGAGAAATGAGGGCTGAGAATAAGCAGCTGGGGTTGGTGGATGATTTCTCCACCCTCACCTCTGCGCAGAAAACAACCGCCTTGCCATGTAACAGCTCAACATCTGTTCTAGACATGAACAAGAAGTCACGTTCAGCTTCACCAAGTCACGAATCGCTGGATTGCAGTAGTTCAAATGCAGAACCAGAGGGTGAAGACAACCATCTCGACAAACATGATAGCCCATGTACTGGCATCATCGCTACTTCCAGTTCCTCTAAGGAGGCAAATGATAGTTCAGATTGTGACACTGACTATGCGCCTCGAGATTGTGTGGAGGGTCGACTTCAGCTAATAGACGATGATATACAAAATCCGGCAGACACAATGAATGATCTAACTGAAAATTTGTCGGCAACACAGATACACGAGCAGCCACCGGTGACTCCAGCAAAATTGGGAAAGGCCAAGCTAAAGCGTCTGAAGAAAGCCCAACAAGCCGAGAACCAGGCTCAAGACCGCCGATGTGCTACCTGTGGTGTCGACTTTGCCTCTAGATCACAGCTTTTTACCCATATCAGAAAGTCTAACCATGCTCAGCTCCGGGTGCAGGCACTTGCAACCAAGAGGTGATTTTGTCGCATTGAGCAATATAGCGTGGATATCTCGACTGCATCAAGCCCTCCTTTGTTGCAAATTCTCGTGTCACTTGGTGGGCAACCACCAGTAGCTATATCTCGAAAACTTCATGAAGTACTACTGGCAAGCTGCTTCTACAAAACGAACTTTGATCAAAGTGATTAGCGAGGCCTGCTGCAGGCGTCTCCTAAGACGTCAATCTAGCCAAGGCCAGCCCTAGAGTTCTTTACAACGTGCGCCACCGGCTGTAGGATACCCTTGTTGTTGGTAGCCCCCAAGGGTGTGCCAATGCTCCAACCCATCTTTTCAAGCATAGCCCTCCCTCGGTTTCCTGCGCCAATTTCTGGTGCCGAAGCACCAACAACTTCCCCATCCATGTATGTTGCCGATGCGTCGGGGCGGCCACGTCGAGCTTTCGCTGGTTTTGTCGCCTTGTGGTCCCAAGATTTGGAGCCTCGTTGGACGTACTTGCCCTTCGACAGTATTCGTTCCAATTGAGGGATGGTTTGCTGGGTAAAGCCTGGAGTCCGTGACGTCTTGTTCATGATTGGAAATCGATTTGTTCCTTTACCCCGTGACTGCGAAGTGAGACACAACATGTTTGCCAGTTCATGCACTAGCTTTCGTTGTTGCTTCGCCATTGGAGGGAGAACCAAGCTGTTGGTGCCATATTGCGTTAGTCTAAATACTGGAGAATACAATGAAGGTGTCGGAAGGTACCTATGCTTTGTTGACAGCAGAAAAAGTCGTATTTCCATCTTCAGTTCGGTGCTGTCCATTCCTTTCGCATACTTCACCCTGAGATCTGGCTCGGCATTTCGTCGACCAAGCAACCCTTCAGAGCGAAGTTGCTCTCTTTGCTGCTTTCTCGATTTTTTCCTAGCGCGGTCGGTTTCCCATGCAATCAAGAGTTCCGCCTCCAAGTCACTGTCGGGTAAGTAAGCATTGAATCCACGACCAGTCCGTTTGGGCTTTTGCTTCAGACTGGGTCGGTTGAAGTCCATGATATCAAACCCGTAGTAAGGATCAAGATCTAGCGCGTCAGCAAACGCATTCGCCGATGCAAACATGCTTTCCTCTTCGTCATGTTCTTGTTGAACATCTGAAGAGGGATCTCGAGTCTCCCATTCGTTTCCATGAGCAGAATCAATATCAGAGGACGAGTCTGGCAGCACTGTGCTGTTCAATCCACCCCCCTCCGCGTGCTCGGGATCATTGTCGATCAGTTGACTGCTTTCCCTGTGTCCATCCGTACCTGGGGCAATCAACAGGCCCTGTGTTGTCAGTCTCACCTCCGAATCATTGCCTAGTACAGTTAGCATGAGAGCATATATTGCAAGAATATTTCCACCTACATCCTGCACGGTCGACGCACTCCTTTGAGGAACCCTGGCGAGCGGCTACAATACGAGATGATGTTGCTCTATCGGCACGTCCCCTGCTGCTGTTGAAACGTGGTGAATGACCTGTCTTCGCCATGGTATACGCTTCAGAACCTCTATCCTGGCTGCGTCCGCCCTGCAGGATAGAATATTCATCATCCATGTTTGCGATATAATCAGCTAGGACAGCGTCTTCGTCTGTCTTGGAAAGCCTCCGCATCGTCTTCTCCTTCTTGTCTGTCCTTTTGACCTTGAGACTGATATAATCTGGACATTCACCCAGCCCCTGTCCAACCGAGGACTCTCCTGCTGGGGCTATGTCGGGTCTGAACGGTGGGACACTTTCGGGGCATATATCAGGAGGGAGTGTGCGCCTTGTGTCGTCGGCGGGGCTGGGTATGTCTGCACACTTGGCGACGGATATCGACCCTGGTTCTCTGTGAGTGTGCTCGGCGACCTTATTTCGGCGCCCCGAGAAAACCACCTCGTCCTCGCTGGAGTCATCTGTATTCGGAGACCATGATGTGGCTATGTCCGATGTGGCTCTAGGAGTGAGACCCTCCTCAGGCAGTTCGAAGTGGCATTGGTCATGGTCAACTACAAATGATGGGCTTGAATTCGTGACAGCATCAGATGACTCTCCATTTGACAGATCCTGGGGTTTGTAAAGAGGTTCTGGAGGCCGTGGACTTTTTTCTTGATCTAAATCTGATGGCGTGTTTCCTGCGCTGACGAATTGTATCACGTGGTGGCGAAGAGAGGTGTCTACCCTTCGTGAGCTGCGGCCCTCTGTGTTGCGTGCTTCTTGTTGCAGTGTAAGATGGTTTTTGCCTGTGGCTTCTGTGGCGTCAGCATGAACATGTGAGTATTCATGGTAAACAGGTGCCAGTACCTTGAAGGCTGGATACTGTTCCTTTATTCTTCTTAACCCTCGGCTTCACCTTGGACCGTGGCATCCTGGAGCCGCTCTTTTGTGTGCGTGATTGCTTGCGGCAGTGAGGGATGTACCTGAGGATGTAAGCGATGTGTAAGAATTGCAGTAGTTACTTTCAAAACTTACCCGAGGGGGCGGCTCTGGGTTTTCCACTTCCTCGGGCGGGCGGTGAGTGAATGACCGCGGGGGGGATCCGATGTCCACACTCCACCTGGGTGGGTATCTACTATCTACACGGTAGATCACTGAAGCTGCCAGTCCAGGCATGTCTGCACTGCCTGCTTCAGATAGGTATGTGCCCTTAGTAGGTATTTCCACGATGCATATATAGTCCTTCAGATACTTCGTCTCTGAAGTATAGGATATTTCTTTGTGAGGCCCTATCATAGTCGTCCGGCCTCATGTGTTTATATATTCTTCTACCATTGTATAAACTTCACCAGCATTACGCCCCAAATGAGGGACTTGGAACACACAGTAAAGTAAAGAACAAAAGAACGCCCCATTAAAGATTTTGTTAGGGCAACCAGTAACATAAATTATAAATGCCATGCCCATCCTGTTACTCCACCTAACGAGAGCCTTTTCAGCCAAATGGTGCAGCACCGGTGCTCATATGGCCCATTCCGCATGACCCAAGCGGGCCGGCGATGTCTTGGACCCACACCCCGCCGGACACTGACGTAGCAACCGAACCGGCGACAACCTTCCATCCCCTTGAGTGACCAGAACTGAGCACCGTGCGTACTCAAAGGGACACAGCAACCATGAATGCCGCGGATATCGGCCGCTGCAGCAAACGCATCGTGCAGTATATCTGGGATCCCGAGCCCAGGAACGACAGAGAACCACACGAACCTATCTGGTGTTTGGGGATAAAGTACCTTCCTGCCGAGGGGCCAGAAGCCTCGCAGACCAAGACCCGTAAGCCCACCCGCAACCACAGGGTCCCGAATACACAAAACAAGATAGAAGAGACAAAAAGAAAGAGTGCCCCAGCGAATTGAACAGATCAGCTAATACCTGCATATCACATAGCCGATGATGGCCAAGAGGAGTGTGACGAAGGCAATGAGGTTGCATCAGCGGTCTCAAAGACACAAGGCACATCAGAGCATTCTTGGCCAGAGACCTTCATCTCAGACTTTGAGTCAAGGATCTGGATGACTTATCGATCGAACTTCACACCAATACCCAGAACCGATGGCCACGACGCCAATGCATCCATGACACTAAGCGTCCGACTACGAAGTCAGTTGTTGGATACGCAAGGTTTTACATCAGATACTGGATGGGGCTGTATGATAAGATCAGGCCAAAGCCTACTGATCAATGCGATGGCCTTTCTGCTACTGGGGCGGGGTGAGAAACATGGTCTCAGACCCTTAAAGACGGCCACTTTACCCTGCTAACATCTTGATAGACTGGCGTCGCGGACAGAGACAGAATGATGAAGCCAGCTTGCTATCACTCTTTGCAGACACTCCCAGTGCCCCCTTCTCGATCCACCGTTTTGTACAGCATGGTGCACAGTCATGCGGCAAATTCCCAGGAGAGTGGTTTGGGCCATCCGCAACCGCCAGATGTATTGAGTATGTAAAACCCAAACCTTAAGGTATCGACTGGAACTGAAGATCAAGCTAGGGCGCTCTCCACTTCGTGGCAAGAACCAGCACTCAACGTATATGTCACAAATGATACAGGGGAGGTTTATCGAGACAGATTCCTGGAAATCGCACGTAGCGGGACAGGCGTGATTCAACCAACGCTCATACTTGTCGGAATAAGACTGGGCATCGATCGCGTGACACCGGCATACTGGAATGGCCTCAAGGCCGCGTTACAACTCCCCCAGTCGGTCGGGATAGCAGGGTATGTCCCCGAGTAGCTATCATCAAACTAAACTGATGCGATGAACACATTAGGGGACGTCCTTCGGCCTCGCATTATTTTGTAGGCCACCAGGGTTCGCATTTATTCTATCTCGACCCCCACTTCACCCGCTCAGCGCTTCCAGACCGTGAGACAGGGCAGTCATACTCGAGAGATGAGATCGACACTTACCACACGCGACGACTGCGGAGGATTCACATGCGGGATATGGATCCAAGTATGCTTATAGGGTTTCTCATCCGAAATGAAGAAGACTGGCAGGACTGGGAGAGTCGGTTGAAATCGGTAGAAGGCAGAGCGATCATCCATATCATCAATGAGATGGATACATCAAACATGGGGCGAGATGCTCTGGACGAAGTCGAGGTATTGGACGATACAGAATAGACACCCGGAACGAATGCGTGGCCCTTAGTCCAGAAAGACTTTCCTGACAATGTATGTCGATCCGGTAGAGCTGCGTGGATGGAAAAAATGGATATGGAAAGCAATTCAGAAATCGAATTCTGCTAGGGAAGGCAAAATTGCGCGACCAACCCCAGATCCGTGTTATGTTACACCGCATTCATGTCACGAAAACCATAAAAAACATTCGGCCCAAGGGGAAAAAATAAAGCCATCCCATGACACATTAGAAAAATCCCGCGAACACCCTGTAACCCACCACCTCAGAACCGTTGCTGATGACGAGGTAGCATAAAAACAATCCCGCAGAAACAAACAAACAAAACAAGAAGCTTATTTGGCAGAAGAAGAGTACTTTGTGACAGCCTTAGTGCCCTCGGACACCGCGTGCTTTGCCAATTCGCCAGGAAGAATGAGCCTCACACTACCTTTCGTCAGCTGGCGCCCCATGATTTATTAAATTAGTGACTTACGAGGTCTGGATCTCCCGCGACGAGATAGTGGATTTCTTGTTGTAAGCAGCGAGCTTCGAAGCCTCGGTAGCAACTCGCTCGAAGATGTCTAGAGAAAGTCAGCATCTGTGATCAGATTAATATACGGCCAGGACCTAAACATACCGTTGACGAAAGAGTTCAGGATGGACATGGCACGAGTGGAGATACCAGTGTCGGGGTGGACTTGCTTCAAGACTAGAACGAGAATTAGCTTTGTGCATGGAAGCACGTAAAACGGCCGTACCCTTGTAAATGTAGGAGGAATAGGTCTCCTTCCTGGTCTTTCCACGCTTCTTCTTGTCACCGGTGCTGGCAGAGGCAGTCTTCTTGCCGGCTTCCTTCTTCTCGGCGGGGGCCTTTCCAGCTGGGGCCTTGCCACCGGTGCTGGGCTTCTTCTCGGCAGCTTTAGGAGGCATCTTGAATTTTGTGTTTAAAACGTAAAGGGTGGAGGTGAAGGCGGATTGCGTTGAGTTGTAGCGTGGAGAAGAACGGAGAGCAGGATGATGAGGAAAACTGAAATGAGGGAGACGCGGTGACGAGAGAGGCGCGCTACTTATACCAGCTCGCAAATGCCTAGTTGATCCTGAGGTCCGCGAAAGAAGCAGAATTTCAATACCGTATCGAATACGTATGATCTGTATGATTAAAGGGTGGGGAACGCGTCACCTACCGCCACAGAACGCCTCAGATCACGCTAGCATGACTGTATTGAAACGCATCTCCATCATTACAGAGCTATACCCCATAAGGTAGCCTCTACCCGGATCCATTGAATCATGCCAAATCCATCTCCGCCAAGCCATGCGCGCCAGGTGATATGATCTCTTCTTTGATTGGTTAGCCCCGCTAAGCGAGAGGGTGATCTGAAAGGCTCCCCATTAGCCTAACGTCACCCTTGTCGCGTTGTTATATATGTCCTCCGCTCCCTCGCGTTCGCCGTCAACCCTTAACCCCATAAACTAACCTTTTCGCCGTGTCGACGTCCTGACCTTATCGTATACCTTCTTCGCACGACCCTCACAAACAAAAACAACAATCATCAAAATGACCGGAGGAAAGTCTGGAGGCAAGGCCAGCGGCAGCAAGAACGCCCAATCGTGAGAGCCACCATCCACCACCCGCCACAACTGAAGCTAACCCAATCATGTCTTCTAGCCGCTCGTCCAAGGCCGGTCTTGCGTTCCCTGTTGGTCGTGTTCACCGTCTTCTCCGCAAGGGGAACTACGCCCAGCGTGTCGGTGCTGGTAAGCTCTTGGAATCGTCCCATTCGCCTCTATTTCCCTAACACGACACCAGGTGCCCCTGTTTACCTTGCCGCCGTTCTTGAATATCTCGCCGCCGAAATCCTTGAATTGGCAGGCAACGCTGCCCGTGACAACAAGAAGACCCGTATTATCCCTCGCCATCTTCAGCTTGCCATCAGAAACGATGAGGAGTTGAACAAGCTTCTGGGCCACGTCACCATTGCTCAGGGTGGTGTCCTTCCCAACATTCACCAGAGTATGTTTCAAGTTTTCGATCTACGTTGACTGACATAGTGCTAACACAATTTAGACCTTTTGCCCAAGAAGACCCCTAAGAGTGGCAAGGGCTCGGGTAGCCAGGAGCTGTGAACAATTTTTCTTTGGTTTGGGTTTTCTGATTCGGCGTGGATTGGTTCTCTTATTGATGTGATAACGGGGTTCTGGTCTGGGCACGTTAATGGCTCTGCGTTGTTTTCTTCCTTTTAGCTTTTAGTTTCATGGTTGTACATTATGTCCACGGACATGGAATGATACCGAGAATTATGGATACAATTTTTCAATATGCTCCATTCTAGCCCTCGGCGTATTGACTCTTGTTGCCACGCAAGCGAGTGATACCTATTGCTTTTCAATATCTATGGTTTACTGCCTTGACAAGCCTTCCTGCAAGTGCTATTCAAATTGTATTTTTGCAACAGATAAGCTAAAGTACTTTGTAGACGGCGATCAGTGGCCCGCAGGCTGGGCAGCGACTGATGGTGGTCAGTACGACGTGCCGGACAACATGCAAGAGTCTGTTATCAAGGACAAACCGCATGAACTTACGAGGCAACTGGGGGGCAGGAAGGTTTCTCTCCCATTTACTGCCTTATATAAAGTTAGCACCTGATCCTTGCGGCAAGCTTGGACTAGCAATCAAATACCTCCTGGGGCAGTAGGCGCGCGATAGGGGTCCGGGTGCTTCCATGTCTCAAGTAGTTTCTCGGTTTCCTGTAACAGCACCTGTTGAATCGCTATTAGACTAGGTCTGGTACCACTGTACATTGCAGCTCCAATTCAAGGATACCTTCTGTTGCCGAGGATCGCGAACGTCTTTATTTGCGTCGAACAGTGAGCGAATGTAGACTGCCTGTCCTCGCCAAACCTGACGGTGAACAGCCCAATCCAGGGCAAGTTTGAGGGACCGTCGATAAAGGGAACTGTGATGCAGAGTCAGAGTGTCTCTAGAAGGAGTTCAGTCGACTGACTTACGCAGCGGCGCTAAGAGGCATTGTGTCTGGGGAAGTCAGTGTTGAAGAAAGGGATGACGATAATGTGCCCTCGGCTTCGAGTTCAACCTCATTTGACAATTAGGCCTGCGGCGGTCCTTGGCGGGCGCTGAAAAGTGCCAAGTTGGCAGTCCTAGGCAGCCGAAATAGCGTAATAATTATACTCCGTTCATTTGCCGGTCGCAGGGAAAATGCAGCTGCTCTTGAGGGAAATCCCGGTTGTCTCGGCCCGGGCTCAAGCTCACGTACCCCGACATAAGTTTCGTCACTCCCTCTTAACTTACTTTCAATAATTGAACCTGCATTCCAAGTTGGATCACAACTCAATTGTCTTCGCTTCGCCTGCTTCCCAGAGATTATACAGCGGCTTGGGATTGTATCTTGTCTTTCTCGGACGTTGCTATTGATAACCATCATTGTTCTTTTCTGTTTCTTTACCTAGGTCATCATGGCTTCTCGACTACCCTTTCACCGTCTGGCTCGGAGCACCCAGGCTTTCCGCACTGTTTCTTTCGGTCGCCCCAGAAACTTCGCCTCGAATGCGCTCCAAAGAAATGCTAAAGTGGCATGTCGGCTGAACCCGGCTCTGCAACGGTTTACGGGTTTGGGGTAAGTCCTTCGCGATAAAACGGCTTGGGTAGCAACAGACGGCTTAGAAAGGCTCAGAAGCTTCACCAACCCTACCGCTACTCCCTTCGGAGCCCACCAAGTTAGAACCTATGGTACATCAAGCACCCCATATATTTGCCGGCTGCACTAACTTGACGACCCATAGCGGACACTGTTGTCAAGGTCCCACAGATGGCCGAGTCTATCACCGAAGGCACCCTGAAGCAGTTTTCGAAACGTGAGGCTCTATCGGCGTTCACATTGCTAAAATTCACTGACGGTATCATCAGAGGTCGGGGATTACGTTGAACGAGATGAGGAGATTGCGACAATCGAAACTGACAAGGTACGAACGCTTAATGACCATGAAACGTGGACTTTGAGATACTCCACGCCCAGCAGCCGCTTACCCGTTCTAGATTGACGTCTCCGTCAATGCCCCAGAGTCTGGCACGATCAAGGAGTTCCTGGTGAGCGAGGAGGACACCGTTACGGTTGGTCAGGACCTTGTTAGACTGGAGCTTGGAGGTGCCCCGGAAGCGAAGAAAGAAGAGGAGGCATCTCAAAAGTCTGCAGAACCAGCTAGTCCCAAGCAACCCACGGCTTCGGAGCCAGAGCAAGCAAAGACGTCTGAGGCACCAAAAGCGCCCACTCCCGAGAAGCCCGCCGCCAAGGCAAATGAACCCGAGAAATCGCAGCCCGCGGCACCTAAGTCGCAGGCCCCCGAGGACAGCAAACTCAGCATTGGGGGCCGTGAAGAGCGGAGGGTTCGTTGCTATCATAATCTTTGTGTCATGGCCTAGTTTGAATTCGCTAACACGACATGCCACGTTCAGGTGAAGATGAACAGAATGAGGTTGAGAATCGCCGAGCGCTTGAAGCAGTCTCAGAACACGGCAGCCTCCCTCACCACTTTTAACGAGGTGGACATGTCGTCTCTCATGGAGTTCAGGAAGCTCTACAAGGACGATGTGCTGAAGAAGACCGGTGTCAAGCTGGGATTCATGAGCGCTTTCTCTCGTGCATGCGTCCTAGCTATGAAAGATGTCCCTGCAGTCAATGCATCCATTGAAGGGCCGAATGGCGGTGACACCATTGTCTATCGAGACTATGTCGATATCAGTGTAGCCGTCGCCACTGAAAAGGGTCTTGTGACACCGGTGGTCCGTAACGCGGAGACCATGGACCTTGTCGGCATTGAGAAGTCCATTGCAGACCTCGGCAAGAAGGTCAGTCGCACAAGTTCATTGGATCTCGCAACTTAATCTAAGTTCTCATTCCAGGCCCGCGACAACAAGTTGACGATCGAGGACATGGCCGGAGGTTCTTTCACTATCAGCAATGTAAGTTGTGTTTTGTCCATACTTGACATCGAACTCCATTGACAATGCTAACTTCACAGGGCGGTGTTTTCGGCTCTCTCATGGGCACGCCGATCATTAATCTTCCACAGACGGGTAGGCCCCACGCCTTAGGCTAGTACATAGTAGACAACTGACTAACTTGGTCAAGCCGTTCTTGGACTTCATGCCATCAAGGACAAGCCTGTTGCCGTCAACGGTAAAGTCGAAATTCGCCCTGTAAGTCCTCGCTGCATCCTTACCGTCCTCTTAGCTTATGCTGACGTTTGAACCAGATGATGTATCTTGCTCTGACTTACGATCACCGCCTTCTGGATGGCCGGGAGGCTGTCACTTTCCTTGTCAAGGTCAGGCACCGAACCTGAAGCATTCTAACTCAGAAACTAACCTTATCACTTACTCCAGGTCAAGGAATACATTGAAGACCCCCGTCGCATGCTTCTGGGCTAAGCTGTTTGCCACGACTTGTTTACCGATCGGCAGCGGAGGGCCAGGGACCATTACCATCTCCGCGCGTTCCTGATATCCTGGCGTGTAGAATATTGTTTTGCATGGGTCCGTTTTAGAAATCATTTATCGACATTGGTTACTGTTCAATCCATGTAGAGAGGCCCACCATTGCAGCTAGTCTTGTGATTTGTCTCCCCAATGTCCGACTATAAACTGTACAGATGACCGAATTGTGGCTTTCATAGTCCTACTCTTTCTTTAAGCCGCCTGGTCTCTTCACGGGTGAGTCCACCGAGTTTCCCTCTCTCTAACTGCAGCAGTATGGGTGGATCTAGCGATTGCATTAAGTTGGTCAGGTATTCAACCACAGCACGTGCAAGCTGAGCTGCGGGTAGTTCATTCGATATGTCCCTTAGGTGAACCTCTAGCGACAAACCGCTAGGTGGCTGGAAGTATTTCAGATACCCTTGTCGTCCTTTCGCCGGCGATTGTTCTTCTATGGCCTCGTGCACGCGGTGAATACACTCGTCGTAGTCCGAGGTTGATTGAATGCCGGCCGCCGCGAGCTCCTCTTGTGCGGCCGCCATAATCAGGTGAGCTGAAATGGCATCCTTGAGCTCTGGCCAGCTCTCCCCTGGTCCTTCGCCTTCGCAGAGCGCGAGAAAGTTGGCCAGTAGGAACAAAGCAGTTACCACCGGAGCACTGTTCTGTAGTAAAGCATACCGGTGACAAAATATCACGGCAAAATTCAACAGTCGGTCTTTGGTATTTATGTCATCCGAAAGACTACTTGGGTCTAACAACACTGCTCTAGTTGCTAGTTTGGCAATTGGAAACAGTCAGTGCTTTGATGATGGAGACAGTAGCTCAGCCATACATACTTTCAATTGTTCTCAGGTACCACTCGATATTATGGTCTTCTCGCTTCTGCCCTTCCGCCTTCGCTCTTCCGTAGCATAGGAGTTGGTCAATTGTTGTGCAGAGAAGATAATCGAACATGAGGATATCGACCTCTTCTTGAACGGTGGAGTCTGCTTCACTTTCCATGATTACATGTCAAGAGCAATTGACTAGTACGGTACGTGTCCGTTGGTCGCATGTCCACTGTGGGGATTTTTGCCAGTCACATACATGACTATCATGACCAAATGTTCAAGGCTAGCGATAAACCAGGGTACAGGTGAGCCCTTACTGACAGTCGTGATTCAGAAAGCAGCTCAGCCAACCCTCGTTATTTCGGTGCTGTGGCACGAAAACCACTCACCGCCTATACACATCAGGTGACTTTTCACCTACTTTCTAAAGCCAAGTCACCTTTTCACTGTAAAGTACGGAGTACGGAGTACTCTTTCCCTTTCCCTTAGGCAATAATACAGTTGGGGTGCGGGAGTCCATGCAAAGGGCGGCAGAACGGCCAAAGATGGCAGGCGGTAAGGCTGTAAACTATACAAAACCTCATTGCCTACACTGAAAGGGACTAACTATCAAGTTACTAACTACATTCTTAAATTTGCATTTAGCCTTTGCATTGAGGTTTATATGGTTGTTGATATCTATGTCGGGAGTCTTCGGGGTTACTTTACATTTAATATTATCCGTGGAATAGTATAACTTTTCTTTGATGGTAGGGTTCTTTAATCGGGCTTCTAATGTATTGAATAGGTTTCATTCTGCTTCCTGGTCCAGTTAACTTAATAACTTGTTAACTAGTTAACTTAGTCCAGCTTAGGTCAGCAAATAGTCAATTCCCAGCCCTCTGCGGAGTATTTAGTCCTCGATGGCTTCGGTGCTTTATGGGACAGATATTAGTGCTAAGTAGTCTGGCCAGTAAATATACAGGTATTTACTCTTGCCTGGTTGATGTTCTATTGTACAGCGCATCGACACCTGGTAAGCTTAAGGGTTATCCCAATTTGGCAACATACGGGGGAGATTAACGCTTGATTTATATATATCCACCTCCTCTGCTTGCCTCTCTGAACTCCCCGTATATATAGTGCTGTACACCGCAATAACAGGGTCCCATAAGCACTACGTGCAATTAGGGATGAAGCGAGAATTCATACTATACTACCAAAACGTTCAGTCTATCACAGAAGGTCCAAGTATATCAGAAGCTCGGCTACTCAAGTCTGTTACTACATGTGCTGCAGTTTCCCGCTCTAACGAGTCCCGCTACAGTGAAAATACTTTACTTGGTTTTTCTGCCCCCGTACAAATTTCGTTACTTTCTGTCGGCGTTTCTGGGTAATCTGGCCACGTGATCCGAAGGCCTTTGCTGTACCCCTTGTTCACACGCGGAGAACCTAGCTGCTAACAACAACTAAGAACCATCAGAAATCATACGAACATGTTCGGAATAGCCCCAACCCTGAGTTCTCAAATCGCTGACATTCTTGTAATATGACAAAATTCGTTGTATCGAGGTAGAACCATATCTAAATAAGTAAGAATTTATCTCTATTAGGTTAGATAAAGCTTGTAAAGTCACTTGTTTGGTTTTAATAAGGGTCGGCACCCCAGGATATATATATATTCACTGAATATACTTGAGTATTTATCAAGTTCGCTATAACGATTCCCTGTTACAACAAATATACCGGACCGGACGGATTAATTTGTTGTAGCGGGGAACTGCAGTAAGTAATGCATGTGAAGCGGTTGTTAATCACCTGCACAATCACGAGACCTAGTACGTTACAATAAATGATGTCATAGGATGTCCGGATTGCTCCGAAATCCACTCCTCAAAGGTCCTGTTGTTTTTGAATTAGTCCAGCAACGAATGATCTTTATACTGATCTAATATACACCTATCGAGTAATAACGATCCACGTCTCTGGTAATCATTCTGCTGCTGCAGGGGTGCATACTCTGGAATATATGCTTGCTGGGACTTTCGCCACAACTATACCCTGCACGCAATCCGCCCGGACGCTATACACAATGGCGTGGTACTGTTCTGGTTCAACCAACAGCGAACTGGTTGAGAACCTCTACAGGACCGGCCTTATAAAAAGTGAGAGGGTGAGAGATGCCATGAAAGGCGTGAGCAACCCCCCTCTTTCCCTTCTCACCCACCAACCAAGAAATCTCGTTTTCTTCTCCCTGGAGATCACTATCTCTGCGAGAATCAGCCACGAGATAAAAAACCAACGGTATCCGGATGAGGTGAATCTTATAGTTGGAAGTCTGACAGATAGGTATGCAAGGTTGACCGGGCCCACTATGCGCCGTCAAGGCCGTACTCAGATTCACCGCAGCCAATTGGACACGCCGCGACGATCTCTGCACCGCATATGCACGGCCATGCATGTGAATATCTTATCGACTTTCTCAAGCCCGGCTCACATGTCTTGGACATCGGGTCCGGTTCAGGCTACTTGACCCATGTCCTTGCCAACCTTGTCACTGATCCATCGGCTGCAAATCAAGCAAACGGCCAAGTTATTGGTATCGACCACATACCAGAGCTTGTCAAATTGGCCTGCGAGAATATGAGCAAGTCAGAGCAGGGCCGTAAGTACCTCAAGTCCGAAAGAGTGAAGTTCATTGCTTCCGATGGGCGGCTGGGATGGTCCCAAGGGGCGCCGTATGACGCCATCCATGTCGGCGCGGCCGCTGAACGGCTACATCCTGTATTGATTGAGCAGCTTCGCACCCCCGGGCGGTTGTTCATCCCCGTGGACATGGGCAGTGACGATGGAGAAGCGGGAAGTCTTGGGCCAAGCGGCGGACAGTACATATGGGTTGTCGACAAGAAGGCAGACGGGTCCGTCAGCAAAGAGAAAATCTTCCAAGTCAGCTATGTTCCCTTGACAGACCGCCCGAAGAAATGATCATGATTAACCTGCCCATATCTCTTGCCATAATTGATTGGATACACAAGTTCGCACGTTGGGACGAAATCTACTGCAAGTTCGAGACTGGGATGTATGAAAGTTACCTTGAATATATGCCTGGAATTTTCAAAGGAAAACCTATCTCCGGATCACAAGGTGCGAGATATATATGATACAAGGGAAAAACAGCCACGTAATTCCCCGAGAGACAGTGATGGAAGATAGCGAGACGAGTAGATCCCTCGAAATCAAATACAACCTTCCGTTGTCAACGAAAAGGGAAGCCACCGCCGGGAAAATTGAAACCCTGCCCGGAGAATTTGAATTGGGGGCCCCCTTGTTGAAAAAAGAATTGTTGACCGCTACCAAACGGCCCGGACTGGAATGGATTACCCTTCTGGGACTCGGGATCATTGGGATCGTCGCCGTTGTCATAGCGTCCTCTTAGTTCAGGATCTGATAAGACTTCGTAGGCCTCATTGATGGCAGCCATCTTCTTCTCAGCCTCCTCCTTGGATACTCCACGAGATATGACCTTGTCGGGATGATGTTGTTTTGTAAGCTGCCGATATGCACGTTTGATGGTACGCTCATCAGCATCACGCGTGACACCCAGAACCTTATAGTAGTCCTTTTGTCTAGAGCGCTTTTGAAGAACGTGAGCTTTCTGTAACAGGTCCTGGATTTTCTTAGAATTGGGATGATGCTCCTTGGCGTCATTCAGCACGCTTATTGCATCTTCAAAGCGATCCTCATCGATGGCCACTTGGCCTTTATACAGAAGACCTGCCAAGGACGATGGGTTCAGATCTAGCGCCTGAGAACAATAGGAGGCCGCTAGTTTACGGATCTGTATCTGGGTCAGAAGTGTTAGTGATAAGCCAGACAATCACGGAAAACAGACATTGACAAACCTCCTGGTAGGCCTCGCAGGTTTTCTCAACCAGCGAGGCATAGAGCCGATTGGGAGCGGCTGGGTGGATATATCCAGCTTCCCTTGCCTGCCTTACATCGTTCTGTACATCGACTATTAAACCACTATCGTCACCGACTCCCACCAGCAGATTGACAACATTGTTGAATTTTCTAGAAGCTGCAGCGCTTTCCATCGTCTGAATTCTTTTAAGAAGCTTCTTTTCTCTGCGGTAGAGACGATTGCAGATTTTCGAGTCGGGGTCTGAATGCAGACATTTGCGAATCTGAAAAATGCCGCGATCATAGTCACCAAGGGAGTAGAATAGCATCGATGAAATCTGCAAATGGGGTTCTAAGGAGCCGGGAGATATTTGGGAGATATGTGCGAGGTCGCTAAGACCCTCCTCTATCTCCCCCCGCTCAAACCGACAATGAGCTCGGGTTTGTCGAAGGCTTAGAGACATGCTTGCTTTGCTGAGGGCCACGTTCGCGTGGCTAACGCAGGCATCCCAGGAACCAAGCTTTTCTGCCTCTTGTGCAAGCAGCGCAGAGTCGTGCGCTTCCTGAAGCTCCTTGAATTCTGGAGACGAACCCTTACCAGCCTCGCCGAGATCCTCTAAAGCTCCTGCCCAATCGGCAGACTTAGCCCTGAGACGAGATCGCTGCAGAAGGGCGCTCTCAAAGCCTGGCTTCAATTGCAGAACGCGATCGAAGTCGGCTAAAGCCTGAGAGTTCTTGCCTAATGAAAGGTAAGCAGCGCCTCTCTGGAAGAGGACCAGGTAGTTCGCAGGGTCTCTTGAGATGGCCGCATCGAAGTACTGCAGAGCGTCCCTGGGCGAGCCACCGGCAAGATGCGTTTTTGCAGATGCGATCAAAGATGAAAGTGGAGTGTCGTGAGATATTGGAGAGGGTTGCCAGCCTTTTACGACCGATAGGAAGGCCAGAAAGACCGCAAGGAGCCCCGGAGAGACAAACATCTTGTAAAAGAAGAGACGCCAATCGATGAGTATAGGACGGTGGAAATGTAGGATGTTATGGAAGTGGTTTCATATTAGTATGCAATATAAGATGTCGTAGACAAGAAGCGGCCAGTGACAGGGAGCAACGCGGGTAAGAATGACCTTTTTGATGGTCGGAGAGCAAGTTACATATTTTCGAGAATGTTGATAACAGCCAGCTCTGACCGTGGTGATTTATTATTGGAGATGTTTGTTGCGGGATGCAGCAAGTCGCAATCTTCCAGTCTGGCCTTTACGACACTGTACTGTACGTACATACAGTAATTTGCGCTTTGTCTTGCCCCGAAGCAACGGCTGGTTACCGTCCAGTTATTGTTTCATGCCGTACAGTATGGTTACAGTCCCTGATTGTACACATCACGTGACAGCATTACACGTGGAAAATTGGCCGCTGTTCAAGTTTCGAGAGCAACAGACTCTACAATCGCATGTACGTGGCACTAGATGTTGTCGCCGATATCGTCTGCCAAATCGGGAAATAGACAATGCTCGGAGTGCCTTGGGTCTGCTCTCGGTGTTTGGTTCGGCCAGCCAGAGCCTCTCTATATCGACGGTCGCTGCTACAACGTCGGACGTACAAAACAGGTCAGTTTGTTCCACGCTTGTGTGGTACTTTCGACGACCATGGCTCATGCGCAAACGAACAGGATCGGATCTCTCTCCAGCACTCCTCACACACGCACGCACTCTGGCTGTCGAGCATGCTGCTCTAAGTACTCAACTAGCTGATTCCTTTGACGCCAAGATCGCAAAAAGGATTGGAGAGCTAGCACAGGTTGCAGACACTCTAAAGGAGTGGGATAATGCAAACGAAGCATGTGTTTCTTAGTACCTCACGTCAATCTGCTGGCGCTGACCAATGCACAGTCCATATCCGAGTTACAGTCCTTGCTAGATGATCCAAGAACGGAAGCCGAATTGAAGTCTTTGGCCATTGAAGACCTAGAAAGTAGCAAGCTTACATTGCCCAGCATATCAGAGAGTCTTAAAAAAGCGCTCATTCCTCGTCATCCTTTTGCAGAGCTCTCATGCCTGCTCGAGATCCGACCTGGCGCAGGTGGGGATGAAGCGGGCCTGTTTGCTTTCGAGTTGATGAAGATGTATATCGCCTTCTGCTCTCGCCGAGGTTTTCGTTGTACCATCATCAAGAAAGAAGGCGGAGAAGGGTCGGCCGAGGACCGCCTTAGCGAAGCAGTTCTGGAGATAGAAACGGATGGTGCGTACGATACCATGAGAACAGAGTCAGGCGTGCACAGGGTTCAGAGAGTCCCGGCTACGGAAGCCAAGGGCCGTACTCACACTAGTGCTGTGAGTGTAATGGTCCTCCCTAGCTTCCCTGAAACAGGAAGTGGCACCGATGGAACGCATGGTTTCGATGATCCCAACAGCGACTATTACATTGACCCACAGGAAGTTCGCACGGAGAAGATGCGAGCTAGTGGTGCTGGCGGACAGCATGTGAACAAGACCGAATCTGCGATTCGCTTGACGCATGTACCGACTGGTATCGTAGTCTCGATGCAAGATTCACGGTCCCAGCATTCTAATCGAAAGAAGGCATGGCAAGTTTTGCGTGCGAAATTGGCCGAACAGAGGCGAGAGGCGAGAGAACAGGAACTTGTTGAGCTCAGGAGAGGAGCTATGGGTGGCATTGCCCGAATGGGCCGAGGCGATAAAATCCGCACGTACAATTATGGGCAAAGTCGCTGCACAGACCACCGTAGCGGGCTCACTGTGCACAATCTAGACGACGTCCTAGCTGGTGGGCAGGGGTTAGAGTCCGTAATGGATAGTGTACGGACATGGTTTGGTGATCGCGAAATCGCAGTCATGGCGGCAGAAGCATCGATCAAGCACGAGGTACAGCGACGTGCTTAGCAGACATGGGTGTATAGATGATGGTGCCAAATGTTGCCATAATAACTACGCTGTTAAGCAGGTTTTTACCAAGCCCATTCGATTACAATTCGATCTCAATCGCGCACACACAGCCCGTAATGTTTCTATACACCAACCAGCTTCATAACGACTTAGATATAACGCCTCTCTGGATCAAATGTGTCCAATGCCTCCATCGTCTTCTCGTACCTGTTTTATCATTAGCCGGCTACGCAATTGGATCATATCATGCACGAATCGATAGAGCACATACATGGTGAATACTATGCCGCCACTCATGATGAGCCTCGCTAGGCGTGGAACGGCTCCCGACCAGAAGGTCAGAATGCCCTCGTCCTTGAAGATGCGTGCTGCGCAGACGAAACTATTCCTATAATTCTTACTGGCTTCTAGGGATTGCATCCTAACACTGTGTCAGTACGCGTCTCTGAGGAGATGTTTGACTTGAACACAAACCTGGTCTTCACAGTATCAAGGGGTTGCGTAACGTAACTAGATGGGGATGGATTAGCAACTCTTCTGGACAGAGATATCGGCCACATTGACGAGAGTAGGGCCACAGCAGGCTTACACCGTGATAAGGCCGGCTATTCCACCGATGGCAAAAGTGCCCACAGTCCCCAACTTCTCTCCAGGAGCGACCTGGCCTTGGGCCATCTGTTTCAGCATTGTATAACTCGAGAATCGTGTCGCCGAGTTGGCAGCCTGGCGTGCGGTTGTAGGAACGAATCCTTGGAAAAAACCTCGAAGGCCCCTTTCTTGGTAAATGATCTTGCTCCCGTGCAGGAACCCACGCATCCGGGGCTTCTGCGACTTTCGATCATCAATTCTAACAGCGCCACAGGGTGTCAGTTCTGTCCGCCTGAACGAGGAGTAGTGACCTAAGCTCATAAAGTAGCTGGCGACCAGGGTCTAACGAACAGTTGTGTTTTGATACTCTCAAATGGTGTCACTGCCAACAATGACTCAGTGAAGCCTGCACCGAAGCCCGCGACAACTGTTCGGGGCCCCGAGATCTTGCCGTTCTCGTCTTGCAGGAGTGACTTCAACCAGTCGAAAGCGACGAACCCTATCCACGAAACCAACGCATCAGTCTCAGAATATGCGTCAAAGACTCAGCACCACAAACAGAACCACTCACGAATTCCTGCCTTAAGCGAATTT